CAAATCAGAGTTCCCTATGACCACTTACCCACTTTTTCACATGGCAACTAATTGAATTCAAATGTTCATAGGGTAAAAATCAGAGAACTCTAAAATTTCATAAAGCACTTAAGTTACACACAACTCATGGATATCCTAGCCAGGGCTCTTTTAGCTGCAACAGGAACTAAAATTAAACTATCTCTAACTGAAAAAAATATAACCCACATAGCTACAACTTCTAAGAATTCAGATATAAATAATTCTATGTGCTCAAATAATGTCTTCCTGTCTCACTTTTGTCATTGCTTAGCTCTGTAATCCTCTGGGTTAGGTTCATTCTCAGAAAGAATTTCTTCCTAAGGAGTTAATAATGACCACAATAATCCCAGCTTGTTTGACCTTTATAACTAATGATCCCTCCCACAAAAAAATATAAATATCACGTCTCTGTTAATGTCATACACTGGGTTTCATGGAAGTGCTATGATTGATCATACTTTTTAGATCAAGCATCAGAGTCAGAAAGAGCTTAGCCTGCCCACCTCTATGATTAACCACCAGATGTTTTATATAAACCTTAATAACTAAATTCAACATCAGAGAAGTTTGTTTCTTTTCTTTCTTGTGGGGAGGTTGGTTTTTTCCGGTACCTGGAATCGAACTCACAACCTTGCACTTGCCAGGCAGGCGCTGTGCAGCTGAGCTAAATCCCCAGCCCTGAAGTTTGTTTCTTCATCAAACATTCATGTTCCTAATTGGCAGAGGACAACTAGGTAGGTGCTTTATACATATTGGAAAATTTAAAATTCTTGAGCAGAGAAATCCAGGTGGTAGAAAATGATCTCTCACTGACCAACTCAAAGTAGATTGTCAGGTCAGGGGTCAAGAAATCATGCCACTGCCATCTGCTCAGAATGAGCCACATGGGCTGCATTACCAGGTATGTAGATCGCCCAGCCCATAGTCAGGGTACCATGGTGTCTTATTGCTCTGGGAAGACTGACGATTTCCATTGTTAGCGTAGTGCCAGGGCAGATCAAGACAGGGCACACCTTGCTGATCTGAAGGTTGGTCAAATAAAACTAGCTCCTCTGAGCAGAACAGGAAGTGGCCATCAAAGCTATATCTGCCGTCAGGAGCTTCAGAAGTCCCCTGGGGGGGACTTTTTTTATCTATTCCTCAGTTGATGGGCATTTGGGTTGTTTCCATGATTTAGCTATTACAAATTGCACTGCTATGAACATGGATAGACATATATCGCTGTGGTATGATGCTTTCAATTCATCTGGAAAAATACCCAGAAGGGGATTAGCTGGGTCAAATGCAACCTCTAATCTTAATTTGGCTGGAGAATCTCCAGACTGATCACCACAGTGCTTGCACTAGTCTACACTCCCACCAACAGTGGAGAAGGGTTCCTTTTTCCCCACGGCCTCGCCAGCATTTTTTATTGTTGATTTCTTGATAATAACCATTCTTTCTGGGAAATGGAATCTCAGTGTTGTTTTAATTTGCATTTCTTGAATGGCTAATGATGTTGAACATTTTTTCATGTATTTATTTGAAATTTCTATTTCTTCATCTGAGAAAGATATATTCATCTCATATGCCCATTTTTGTATTGGGTTTTTGAATTTAGGAGGACTGGTTTTTAAAATTCTTTATATGTTGTAGATAGAAGTCCTTTGTCTGAGGGGCATTACCTTTGACAAAGGGGCCAAACAAGTTCACTGGAAGAAAGATAGCCTCTTTAATAAATGACACTGGAAAAACTGACTCACCACGTGCCAAACACTGAAACTAGACCGATGTCTATCACCATGCACCAAACTCAAGTCAAAATGGATCAAACATATAAATATTAAAACAGAAACACTAAATCTACTGGAACATAAAGTAAGTAAAAATCTTGAAGATATACAGGTAGCAGAGAGTTCATGGGCAAAAAGCAAATTGCACAGGAAATACTTCAAAGAATCAACAACTGGAACCTCATCTTATTGAAAAGGTTTTGCACATCTAAAGAAATCACCATCAGAGTAAAAAGAAAACCCACAAATTAAGGTTTTATAATGTTTGAAAATCCTTGCTTCACTACTTAACACACACACATGCATTCACAGAGGCACACACGGAGTTACCCATTTATCTTTTGTAATAATAATAAACATTCTCTTATACTCAGAGAAACTGCTTTCAGCAACCTCCCCCATCAACTACTTCCAGTATTCTCTATTAAAACTGGAAGGGTGGTGTTGTAGGAGATAAAAATCCCTCATTAAATACAATCTCATCTTTCAGCACCTGTTTTGGTCAAGTGATATTCCCATGCGTGTTTTTAATGAGGATTGCTCAGTAGAAAAATACTCTTCCATCTTGGGGCTTTACTGTTCCTTAAGTCCTCGGGATCCACCCAATTCAGCTGTAAAGTGGGGACAAAGAATAGAGTCATTTGTGAAAGTTGGGTGCCTTACTCAGGTTTCCCATCACTGGATGCAATACTTGACACTCACTCTTAAAGAAAGTGAAGTGTATTTTTGCTCATGAGTTTAGTTGGTTCAGTTCATGATTGAATGACTCCAAGGCAGAAATAACACAGTGGATGGGAGTGGTGGAAGAAAGTTGCTCAATCCATGGAAGACAACAACCAGAGAGAGAAAAGAGAAACTGAGGACAAGAGTTGCCAAATTCTTAATAGTTCCACCATTGCTAAAAAGTCCAAGTCCAAGGTCTCCTCTAAGACTCAAAGCAAACCCTTAGCTGTGAGGCTGTAAAAATTAAAAGAAAAGTTAAACGTTTTCAGTACGCATGGCATGGGGTGAATATTCCCATTCCAAAAGGAAGGAATGGGGGAAGAGGAACAAATGAGATCAAAGCAAGACTGCAAGCCAGTAGAGCAGACATTAACTCTCCCTGTAGCTCCATGTCTAGCAGCTTGGCGAACAGTGGAGAGATATTAACTCCAAAGGATATGGATGGTCTTCCCCCTTTGGCCTTGGTAATTGCAGCCTACAGGACCTTTCCCTGAGGCTGGCTCTCCTCACTGCCTGTGATTTTCCTCAGCTAATATTCTCATATCCTGGCATCTCCGACTTCCTGGGGTCCCCACAGTACCTTCAGCTTTACTCTTGCAACTTCATGCATTGGCCTCTCAGAAGCATATTGTCTGGTGACCCAGACCTTCCTTTAAAATCTCCAAAACCCCACTAGCCAGGCATTCTGCATGCCTGAAAAACCAGCACCATGTGGTTGACACCAAAGTTTACCACCAATTTGAACAGTAATCTAGTCCCCTGGGACCACATTGGCAGTGACTTCTGGATGCCTGGATGACTGACCTTGGGCAAACATTTGCCTAGGCAGCTCTGAATGAGCAGGGTATCCTCAGGCTCTCTTCCCAAAACAAAGTCATCCAACAGTTCCTTTTTAAACCCATGAGCCTGTGATAGGTGGAATCTGGACAATTCTTGAGATGCCTTTAAGCCATTTTTTCAATTTGTCCTGATGCAAAGTATTTGGCTTCTGTAATTTAATCTTTTCATTTAATCTTTTCATTTACCAAGTTCTCCTTGGCCCCAAAGTACATCTATTCTCCAGACAACCACAAAAGATCCTCTAGAAACTTGTAACCAGTTCTCTCCTCTGTTCCAAATCAGCAGCTGTCCTCTTATATCACTAAAATAAGACCAAAATTCTTACCAATGGCCTACAAGGCTTTTCATTATATAAACTACATCCATCCATATCCCTCCTCAATCCTACACATTCTCTTCAGTATAACCACACTGGACTCTGCTCTTCCTGGAAAGAGTTAAGCAGGCTTCTATCTCTAGGTCTTTGTACTTGCTCCTCTTCATGGAACACGCTTTCTTAAATTTTCAGTATGGCTCTCTTCCTAGTGACGTTTCATTTTACATATAACACCTACTCCTACCCAAGACTCTTTATTCCTTTATTGTACTTTATTATTTTTGTGTGTGGCAATTTCACATCTTACATATTAAGATGATTTTGAATATTTCTCTCCATAATAGCATAAACTTTGTGTAATTTTCTGGTATGTTTCACTTAAGAGTATGGTCTCAATGTTCATTCATTTAGCTATAAATGTCTCGAGTCTATCCTTCTTTGTGGCAGAGTAGTACTTCATTATATAAAGAAACCATGTGTTTTTTATCCATTTATCATTGGATGAGCATCTGGGCTGTTTCCAAGATTTGGCTTACAATCTGTGCTGCTATGAACATTGGTGTGCATATATCATTGTTGTTTTAATGTTTTAATGTTTGATGTTTTTAATTCTTTTTGGAAGATACCCACAAGGGGAATAGCTGGGTCAAATAAAACTTCTAGTTTTAGTTTTTTGAGGAAGCTCCACACTGATTTCCACAGTAGTTGTGCCAGTCTACACTCCTACCAACCATGGAGAAGTGTTCATTTTTCCCCACAGCCCTGCCAGCATTTGCTATTGGTTGATTTCTTGATAATATTCCAAAGATCTAAATAAAATATTTAATTTTGAGTGTCGTAACTTGGTGATATTATCAGAAATTCTTCACCATCCCCTTTAGCCACTTACTTTAACCCAATTCCTTCTAAATTGTGAAATGCAACTGAATTAAATTCTCAACTTCATACTGTTCAGTTTTATGCTGAGGAATCATTCTCAAAAATGATGACTCAGGTTTTAGAATGCTTTACTTTAATCCTTTTGGGGAGTGGTCTTTAGTAACTAGCTAGTCATTAATAAAGCCTACTCCATTTTCCTGAAAATAATACTATATAATCTACATAAAATATAATGTTTACTTTTTTCTGTGTGACAAACATACATCTAAGGATAGTTTCCAGTTTTCAAGTGTTCGATAATTAGTTTTGTGTGTCAAGATAGCTTAGCTATGGAGCGCAATTTTTGGATCAAATACTAACACAGACATTGCAATGAAGATATTTATCAGGTTTGATAAACATTTGCAATCAGTAGATTTGAATAAAGTATGTTATTCTCCATTATGCAGGTGGGCCTCCTCCAATCAGCTGAAGGACTTCAGAGCAACCACTGAGATTTCAAAAAAGGAAGAAATTCTGCCTCTGGACTGCAACACTGAAAACTGAATATTCTACCTAATTATCCTGATCTATTGATATCATTCAAGATTAACATATCAGCTCTTGCCTGAACTTCCAAAATGCTGCCCATCCTTACAAACCCCAAACTTGTCAGCCCCCACAATCACTTGAACCAATTCATTAGAGTCTTGATAGAGAAACATGAATAAACAACTCTAGATCTAGAAAACTGGAGAACCAAAAATGCAAGGGCTTTGGAGACCCATAAAATGATCTTTCCTTACCCAAGGTTATTGAAACTGAACCCTGATCAGTCCACAAGCCAATAGTTTCTCTGCTGGATTTGAATCTTTGCCAAAGTTGCCATGGGCCACCACTGTGATTTCACGGTTCTGGTTCCCAGCACTGCTGCAGTGCTACTTTGAGAAAAATAAATCCCAGTCTCTTTAGAGCTGGGCTCAACCAAATATACCCAAAACTGGGCTTCTACCAATTCTAGATCTAATGACCCATCCTTGTATTTCTCATACACATCCAATTTTCAGGATGGGTCACTTTCAGCTCATTGTCCTTTGCCTCTCAGGCCCAGAATTTCTCATTCACATTCTATCCAGACTTAGTAAACAGGTTGTTTTCCTTTTGATGTTCTCAAAACTAAAAAAAAAAAAGTCAGATTACAGCCTCTGTCATCAGAACATCAGGTTGCTTGTCTTCTAAGAGTGATCAGCCAAGGATTTAAGAAGGAAAAATAACATGATTCTGAGAAAAGCTAGCCCCATTGACTCTACATATATTTCCCCTTCTGAGGAGATGTTCTCTAAGCATTAGTGCAGTGACCACAACTCTCCTTCTGAATGAAGGGGATCTGCCAATTCCAATGTGATTTTCCTGGAACCCAGAGAAAAAAATAATAATCTCTTATACAGCACATACCTGCATGTCTAAATTTGTTACTGAAAAAAGTTATATGCCATAATGTGAAAGTGTTTAATTAATCATAGCACACTATGGCGACATTAGTTGTAGTTCTGAAAGATGGACGAAGCAGCAGTCTAGGAAACTACTCCAGCTCTGCCAATCACTCTTTGTGGAGTTTTGTGCATATGGCTTTTCTCTGAACATTCATATATAAAATTAAATATTCCATACAGGCATACATAATACTGATAACAGTTGTGTGGACTGTGATGAGCACCAATCAAGACATCACAGGAAAAATAGTTACCTTGGCTTCAAACACAAAGTAGTAAGTGTTCAATAAATTGTAGCTATCATTATTGTGCTTCTAACTCTGCCCTAGTCTGTTTCTGCTGCTATAATAAAATTTATATTATAAATTGGGGAATTTATAAATAATCAAGAATAGTAACAGGCTGGGGATATAGCTCAGTGGCACAGAGCCTGCTTGGCACATGCACGGTCCTGAGTTCAATTTCCAGCACCAAAAAAAAAAAGGCTTATAAACCCAAGATCAACTTAGCAAGAGATTCAGTGTCTGATGACTACATTTTTGCTATGTCCTCACCTGGCAGAAAGAGTGAAAGCTCACCCAAACCTCTTTTATAAAGTCAGGAATCCCATTTACGCAGTCTGCACCCTCATGATGGAATAATCAAAAGACGCCACCTCTCAATGCTACCACATTGGTGATGAAGTCTCCACGTGGATTTTGGCAAGCACACAAACATTCAAACCACAGCAAGCTGTGAAGTATAGCTGGCGCTTATTGAGTCCATGGTACAAGGAAATGCACTTATATATATTCCTTCACTTTATGCTTGCCTATGTGGTAGTACTTATAACGCTCATTTTTCAGATAAAGCAATTAAGGTCTAAAGAGAATGTTATGTTACCAGAATTAGATGACAGCAAAAAGGGTATGTTTATTCAGATGGTTTTATCAGCTACCTAACAAGCCATGCCTATACTCAGTGACTTACAACAGCATTTAACTTCTTGCTAGGAATCTTTAGTCAGTTGTAATTCAGCCGATGTTGGCTGTTCTCAACTGGGTGATTTTGCCCTTTCAGGGGTAGATAATGCACAGAGGGAAACGCAATCACTCAAGCATATTTCAAGCCTGGTCACATCTGCTAATGTTCCAAAGGAGGTCAGATGACTGGGTGCAAATCAGTTTGGGAAGAATTACCCCAGTCCACAGTGGAAGGAGGAAAGGGCCTTCATGGAACAATAACTCCAACTGTCTACAAGGTCTCACCAACTCCAGAAGCTGAGCTCTTATTTATCATCCTATAACTCCTCTCCATTGACCTGAGCTGGTACCTCGCTTACCAAAAACACATTATTAAATCTCTTTCCACTATTAATCTGTATGGGGTTTGGAGTTGTTCCTTTTACTTACTGTCTAGAGTCACCTGGCTTAGCTCTTTCAAACAGCCACAAGCCCAGCTGGAGAGTAAGTGTAAACTTGATAGCCCATCGCTCTGCGCTGCTCTCAGAGGCCAGGCTGTGCAGTCCCAATAAGCAACCCGCTGGGTCTACAAATTTGCCATGCTTTGCTCTGTTAAATCTTTACTGGGCACAGTATGGTAACTCAATTAATAGTGAGAATGACACAGGCGAGTGTCACTGGAATTGCAACCAATTATTTTTTCCTTAATATCCTTTTAAATCACAAGCTGACCAAGCTCCACAAGAGCCATGTCCTTTCACGGGGTGTATTTAGTCTGCCCCAGTCTTCCTTCACATTAGCCTCCCTTCACCAAGGTCCCACAGCTGTCACCAGCTACCAGCGTCTCTTCTCCCACAACAGTGCCGCCTCTCCTCAAAGAAGCTAATTGGAAACACAGATCAGGCTCTTTGGCAGGATTTTGTGTGTTTGGTATATTTTTTTTTAATTTTGTTTTTTTTTCCCCCCCAAGAATCAAAAACTTAATGAATTTATTTTCCCTCCTTTCTCACAGGGGTCCTGATTTAGGGAGCACAAAGTTTTTATTTAGGAAGCAGTCTGAATCATCACCCAAAGAAATGCATGAGAACGGATTCACAGCGCACCTGTGCTTGTCCTGAAGTGACTCCAGGCATCTGGTCCTCCAAGGTGTCCTGGACCCCAGCTGTCCTCCTGCACTTGCCATCTTCCACCCAGATTTGGAACTCGTCTGGTTCCCAGTAACTGAAAGCTAAGAGGTGACTATTGCTACCCATAGGCAATGGTCTTGCCAATCAATGACCTTTAGAAAATAAAAATTATACACAGTGGTCAATCAAGGAATATATCATGATCTTCAGCTGCCACACTACTACCTAAATTGGTTTTAGCCCAGTCCTTTTAAAAGCTTACATCCAGATAGATAGGGAGACTCTTTTGTACTATATAGATAATTTTCAAAGTTAAAAAAGACCATATCATTAGGGAAAGAAGAAAAAAGAAAGATATATTTATATTTTTTAAAGATATATTTATATTATATTTATATTAAAGATATATATATTTATTTTGCTTTCTTTCTTACGCATATATATATATATCTGCAATAACTGTATTGCTGATGTCTGATGGTGTATTGAAATGAACAGTTAATGATTACAATTTTTTATGTTCTGATCGATTGTGCATGCTTGCATCTGGTGGTCTGAGCAACTGATTTGAAGGTAACAACATGCAATGGAATTACAATGGTGAACTCCTACCATATTGTCTAGCGAAACTCTGTATTACCTCTACCGTTTTAGCAAGAATTATTTTCTTATTCCCTATAATGGTTTGAGCAGTCTTTCATTCTTACATCTGGTAATCTGAGCAATGTAGTTGAGGATAACAATATGTAATGTAACAACCACTGTTGATTCATGTTATTTTGTCTTGAGACTCTGTATCACTTTGAATGTTCTTGCTTTGATTTGTTTATGTTTGTGATACTGGTATGCTGATACTGTTATATTTCTTTGTTTTTCATTTACTACTCTCTTTAAAAGAAAAAAAGGAAAATGAAAAAATGGATATATGAGGGATGCTGCTTAAAATGTTCTCTTTTTAAAGTCAAAGTGGATCATACATTTTAACATTAGAATAAAAATAATCTGCTGAAAGACAACGTAGATACAATTCTTCAAGACATAGATATAGGCAAATACTTTCTGAATTAAACCCTGGTTGCAAAAGAAACAATACCAATAATCATCAAATGGGATCCCACAAAATTTAAAAATTTCTGCACAGCAAAGGAAACCATGAACAGAGTAAAGGGACAACCTACAGAATGGAAAAAAAAATTTACTATCTACTCCTCAAAGAACTAATACCTAGAATACATAACTCAAAAAATTAGACCTCCACCAAATTTAAAGACCCAATCCAAAATGAGTAGATACTTCTAGGTGGACATACAAATGGCCAAAAAAAATATGTGAAAAAATGCTCAACATCACTGGCCACTTGAGAAATTAAGATAAAACTGAAATTCCATCTCATGCCAGACATAATGGCTGTCATGTAGAAATAATCCAGTAACAAATGCTGCCAAAGCTGTAGAGAGAAAAGAACTTTTCTCCATTGTTGGTGGAAATGTAGACTGATACAGTTACTATGGAAATCAGTATGGAGATTCCCCAAAAAACTCAAAAGTAGAAATTCCATTTGACCCAGCTATTCCCCTTCCAGGAATCTTCCCAAAAGAGATAAAGACATCATGATGTATGTATGCCCATCTTTATAACAGCACAATTCATAAAGGCTAAATCTTGGAAACAGCCTATATGCCCACCACAGGTGAATGCATTAAACA